GCTCAGGAAGAAATCCCTACGGATTATCAAAGACCCCCATCACCCCAGCCACAAACTGTTCTTTCTGTTGCCGTCTGGCAGACGTTACCGCAGCATCCTGGCAAAAACAAAAAGATTCGGAGACAGTTTCTTCCCGCGGGCAGTGAAACTGTTAAACAATTGAACTGCTGAAACAATTTCAAAACATTCATCTGCTACTTAGTAATATATATCTACTATCTAATATATATCATTCCAATAACTTGTATATAGACTCGTACTGCACTATTCCACATACTCACTTTATTTTAGAACTATTTTTCTTTTTGTTTTACTTTTAATATCTGTATTATTATGTTGCATTTTTGGAGAAGCCTGTGACATAAGATTTTCAATGACATAATTACTCTGTAGCTATGTCAGTTTGACAATAAAGAACCTTGAACCTTGAACCTTGATTGTTGTTGTTAGCATCTGGTTAGCTAGCTGCGCTAACGGATATAAGGAGCTGTTTCTACAACAAGCTGGAGGAGAGTCCTCTCCTGTCAGACTGAGAGGCTCTGATAACTACAGCTCAGTGAGGTAAAGGACTCTCTGAGGGTTTAGATAGTTAACTTTAGTCTAAGTTATCTCAGTCTCAAACGTTTAGGTCACTATTTATGTAAACAAGTATTTCCAAGGCACACCTTTATATGATCTTTATAGTTTCAAAAAAACAAGAGAATAAATCAAAACAGGTGTGAAATAATTCAAATTCCTACTATAGGACAGTAAAACAAGACTACAGTTTAAAAGGGGAGTGATTTGTAAAATATGCATAAACAGGGATGCAAACTCATCAGGTATGAAAAAGGTGACAAGGATCCGAGCCCCCCGACCCCACGGAATATCGGCTTTAAAATTAGGAATAACAGAGGATTTTAGCAGTCAGAACAACTAAAGCAGCAGTGTTAATAATAACAGAAACGCCAAAGAGTCACATCTAATAGAAATATATAAAAGCATTTATTTAGTGGGAATGCTGATACAGCATTCCAACTATATGTTATGCTACGGACAAACGAGTTATTATTATTCCATCCAATTATTTTGTCCGTCTTCTCCTCCCACATTCAACATCGCAGAAACTCCGTTCAAACATCAAAACGTTCAGCTCGGTCGGGAATCGACTGCTATTACTTTTATCATTCATAACTTTCATAATTCCAGAGATACATCCCATAATTCATCAAATTTTGAACATTGAAGTCAATGGAGATATTCTTCAGACTTCAACAAATCTTCATGCGACTTCAACTGCTAACTGTTCATTCATACTTTCACTCAGAAACCTCATTCCAACTTTAAAATGTTACACATCTTTCTGACATTATTCGTGTAACACAACTTTTAAATCTGATTCTTACTTTTAGAGATATTAAATATTGTTCAGACCTTGTTAAAGAGGTTTTCTTCAGATTTTAACATTAACTAGAGTGCGTGATGTCACAGCTAGAGGGTAAGAAATCTTGAAATGTGCCTTCATATTTTTTTTTAAAACTGCCATAATTCCCAAACCCTAAATTCTTGAGACATAATTTTTCATGATAAACGTAGGAAAACATCTCGTAGCTTGAAAAATGACAAATAATTAAGCAACATAATTAAACAAAATGCCTCTTGAGGGCATGAAGTGACAAAAACGTTCACCATGTCTCCATTAAAGCCCATTGTAATTTCAGGCAGATATTTCCTCACTGCAGCAGCCGCACACTTTTCTTAAACTGCCAAAAAGGCCACATTATTAACCTGAAAGTACACAAAAATTACACTTCAGATACTCAACTTCCTTGACATGCTTCACGTTTTTAAATTTCACAGATATCTGTTATCGTTCTTCCACAAAACGTTCACATGTAAGAGGTTCATCTCTCATTCAGAACAATGAAGCCTTTGATCTTTTCATAGCTCGTTAGCTCAACTTTATTACATGGCTTAGTTGAATACTCGATTCTGATTGGTCAATTCAGAACACGTGACACGTTGTTAATCCAGAACAGACAGACCGCTGTCAAGGATTTATGACCGTTGTTAAGGACGCTCAAATCTGCAGAAAGAAGTCCGGTCGATTGAACTGTATACAGTTTGGCTGAAAAGCAAACTGCATGCAGTTTGCTTTTCGAACTGACAAGACAAGAGACGCTCAGAAAGAAGTTCGGTCATTTAACTGTTTTTCAAATTTAACAGTTTGAAAAGCAAGCAAACTGTCTGCTTGTCTTTAGTTTTCCGCTGTCGTGTGATAGCAACATGGAGGATTTTAACATTAATTTTAATATATTTGGAGAGCACAGTAATTTGGAGGAATGGTTAGTGGCTGATGAGTCCCTAGTGAAGAAAAGAAAAAGACAAGAGGGACAAGAAAACAGCGGAGAAGTAAGAGAGGCGAAAAGACACAGAGATTTGAATGACAGAGAAATCGACCAAATTGAAGAGGACAGGCATGAATTGAATACAAAACGGAACACATTATGGGCTATGAAACTATTTAAAGACTGGTTGATTGAAAAAAAAGAACCAACAGAGTTTGACAGCTATGGAGCAGAAACCCTGAACACGCAGCTGCGGTCCTTTTATGCAACGGTCCAGACCTCAAACGGCAAAACCTATTCAGTTGCCAGTTACTTGGGCATTAGGGCAGGGATATCAAGAACCTTTCCAAGGTTTGACATCATGAACTGCGCTACTTTTAAAGCAAGCAACGATGTTTTCACATCTGTTGTAAAAAAGCTCCGCAAAAACGGGAAAGACGTCAGCCAGCACCACCCGCCTATCTCAGCTGCGGATTTGCGGCTGCTCAGGGCTTCACAGGCGCTGTCTGTGAACACAGCCGGCGGACTGGTCGGATGTCCAACTGCATCTTGCCAGACGAGGCAGAGAGGGAAATCGACATTTGAATCAAAGCTCTTTTATTTTGAAACTTGATGATCACGGATGCGAATATATATCTCTTGCCCACAATGCCGATACCAAAAATCATAAAGATCCAAAAGACACGAATAAAGAGAATGACAGAGGTTTTATTTTCGCCGAGCCTGAAAACCAAAATTGCCCCGTTGCCAGCTTCAAAAATTATGTTTCCCTGTGCCCATCTGACGCCAAAGCCTTCTACCTTCACCCACTAAAAAAGGACCAACAGCTTCTCAACGGTGAATCAGTGTGGTATTCACGTGAGCCCATGGGACATAATTTCCTTGGGCAAATGCTACCCACAATAAGCCAGGCAGCCCAGCTTTCAAAGCGCTACACAAACCATAGCTTGAGAAGCACGGCTGTACAACTGCTCTCTCAGGCTGGTCTTGGATCAAAAGAGATCATGTCTGTGACTGGGCACAGGTGCGAGAGCAGCCTGAAGAGTTACTGGGCTCCAACAATAACTGAAAGGGAGAAATGGAGCAACATCCTGTCCTCCAACCCAGGAAATAGCACCACATCGGGTCAGTGCCTTTCCATGTTGTCTGTCCTTACACACACATTAGCGGTAGCGATACAACTGTGGCAATATTGTTTCCCGTTTTTTTACATGTTGGGAATTGTGCTTTCAGATGTGTCATCTGCGAAACCCCCGCAAGGAGAGAGGATCGAGGACAGAAACGTCGATCTCAATATCCCTAAAGATTTCCCATTCACCATGTCACATTGTACTATTAATGGAAACGTTCAGGTTAATGTTAATTACAGCTAAGGCTCAAATGCTAACATGCACAGTTCCTGCCGTTGCAACAGCCTAGTTCAAACATCAACAACGGACTATTTTTCGAAGCGGATGAATGTCATTTTAAATCAGTTACAACTATGTTTTTAATCATTAAAAACATTTTCTAAAACAATAAAAGCATTTCAATTAATATTGGGAGTCATATCGTTACTTTGTTGAGAATGTGGCCATGTAATAAGCGGGATAATGTGCAGCGACTTGGTCATTATGGGTAAAAGAACACCTTCATGCCGATCTAGATCCCTCCGCTTCGCGTCGGGCTCCTGATCAGCCTGTCGGTGTTCTTTTACCCATAATGACCGCGTCGCTGCACATTATCCCTTACTTATTACATGGCTTAGTTGAATACTCGATTCTGATTGGTCAATTCAGAACACCTGACACGTTGTTATTCCAGAACAGACAGACCGCTGTCAAGGATTTATGACCGTTGTTAAGGACGCTCAAATCTGCAGAAAGAAGTCCGGTCGATTGAACTGTATACAGTTTGGCTGAAAAGCAAACTGCATGCAGTTTGCTTTTCTAACTGACAAGACAAGAGCGACAAGAAAACAGCGGAGACGTAACTGGCAGAAACCCTCCTTTTTACGCAGCGGTCCAGACATAGACATCAAACGGCGACACATATTCAGTTGCCAGTTACTTTGGCATTAGGGCAGGGATATCTAGATACTTTCCAAGGTTTGACATAATGAATTGTGCTAATTTTAAAGCAAGCAACGATGTTTTCAAATCTGTAATCAAAAAGCTCCGCCTTCCTGCCGTTGCGTTGCTCCGTTTTTTTTTTCAAACGGTAATAACGGACTATTTTCCTTAGCGGATGCATCTCAATTTAAATCAATACATACAACTATTTTTTAAATCAATAAAATCATTTTCTAAATCCATAAAAGCATTTCAATTAATAGTGGGAGTCATATCATTACTTTGTTGAGAATGTGGCCATGTAATAAGCGGGATAATGTGCAGCGACGCGGTCATTATGGGGAAAAGAACACCGACAGGCAGATCAGGAGCCCGACGCGAAGCGTTATCCCTTACATAAACACCTGTGTAATGGAACACGATGATGTCATCACTCCAACTGACAGCAGTCAGTTCTAACTGTGTATCTCTCTCTCTCTCTCTGTTCTGGCTCCTCAGAGAGCCGGTGGTCCGTGGATCTCGGTTTGTGTGTGGAGTAGGGCCTTCTCTACAACAGAGACTCTGTGAGGAGAGGATCCTCACGCTGGGCCAGGTGGTGGAGGTGTGTGGCCCCCCCCTAGACAACGCTGCAGGCCTGGCCTCACGTCTGAGCCTCAGGTCAGTCCGGGTGGTCAGCCTCCTGCTGCAGAGCTGGAAACAGCAGCTCAGCCAATCAGAGCTGGCACTGATTGCTGCTCATTGTAACGGACTGAAGTCTCCAAATGACAATGACTCTTTTCCAGAGATGCTATGTTTTCCTGATCTCAGTTGTGAGGGTTTATTGTTAAAGTTGAACAATGTTACCGATTTTAAGTTTAGCACCATGTCCAACAAAACCTTTTATTATTTGGTGACAAAGGTGCTGAATCAGAGCAGACTCCAGGAGCGAGTGGACACCCAGTGGAGAGCCCACCTGGGCCTGACGGAGGCTCAGAGGCCTGAGTGGAGAGCGCTCTACAAGCCTCCGCTGACTAAGAGGGGTGGGGACCTCCAGTGGAGGGTTCTCCACGCTGCGGTAGCGGTAAATGCGTTTGTGTCAGTGATCAACCCTACAGTGTCTGACGCCTGTCCTTTTTGTGAACAGAGGGAAACCATTTTTCATTGCTTTACAGAATGTGGTCGACTCCTTTGTCTTTTTCAGTTACTCGCTCAGATGTTGATTTTGTTTAATGTGGTTTTTTCTAACTCAATGTTCATTTTGGGTTGTAGGTACAGCCAGAAGCAAAAGTCAGCTTTTGAATTTTTTGTTGGGGCAGGCTAAAATGGCCATCTACCTCAGCAGGAGGAATAAAGTTGCGGAGTCACTGGATACCGATGCAGTTTTGATTTTCAAGCGGATGGTAAAAGCAAGACTAAAAACGGACTACAGTTACTTTTGCTTAACCAAAGATGTGGGAGAATTTGAGGCCATGTGGTGTCTTAAAAATGCTTTGTGTTCTGTGGTGAATGAGGATCTTATTTTCAGTCGTTTTCTGAACTGACAATGTGTGTCATTGTGTCTGTTTGGTTATTTGCTTTGTGAATAAAAGTGGTTTCAAATCTCTCTCTCTCTCTCTCTCTCTCTCTCTCTCTCTCTCTCTCTCTCTATATATATATATATATATATATATATATATATATATATATATATATATATATATATATATATATATATACAGGCAGTAGCATCGATATACGCCCTTAGGGCACCCACAGGGAAGAGCAACTGCGACGTGCCGTTCTCCTGAATGTCAAAGCATGCCAGCTGGACAGGCTGATTGAAGTGGGTTTGTGGAAGCACCTTGGCAGGAACGCCACATTTGCCCAAAGGGCAACACCTGAGAGTCCCACCTCAGGCATGTATCACTCACGGAGAGGGCATGCAACTCCCCAACTCGCTTCCCTGAGGTTATGGCAAGCAGAAATGCTGCCTTCGTGGACAGCCACTTAAGCCCCACCTCGGCCAGGGGCTCGAAGGGAGTAGATGATAGGGCATCCAGCAGCAGGGGCAGGTCCCGAGCCGGAGCCCTCGGGGCGCTGCCGTAAAGCCCTTCTCAGGAAGAGGGACACCGACCTGTGGCACCCCACCGTGGCGCCGTCGACCCGAACATGTCGGGCAGGAATAGCAGCCACCTAAACTCTCAAAGTGGAGTGAGAACGTCCACTATCTAGAAGGGACTGCAGTCTCGGCAACAGTGGGCATGTTGTCCGAAGGAACAAGCACATTGCCCCCCAGTTGGGGTAAAAAGTGCGTGAGTGCAAGCTGCACAGCCCGAAGCTCTAGCACAGGCATCCTCAAAGTCCGGACTCCGGTCCGGATCCGGACCGAACCACAACTGTCTCTGGACTCTGAGCAAATTATACTTTTCATATGTATTATCTGTATTATCTGTGTTATCTGCGAGACATCGCCACAACGCAACGAGTCAAAATTATCCGCTATGTCCGCTGCATACAGCGCTCTGCATGTCAGACTGTTCCACTGTCTGTGTGTGTCTGTCAACGCTTTGGTCCAATCACATTCAGCATCCCGTCAGCGTTTTTTCCCCCCACCAACAGTCTGCGAATCAGAGGCACAGTAGGGCGGGTCTTTGCGGAATGCGGGTGGGAAAAATGCGTGTGTCGTGTCGTCTCTTTCAACCTGTCTGAGTCAGAGCGAGAGTTTAAAAAAAAAAAAGTCAGAGCGAGAGTTAACAGCTCATCTAGTTGCATCTGTACTGTAGCTAGTAGCCTAGTTTCAGCTACCGGGGTGGCATGGGGTGGCAACTGCCACCCTAAAAATAGGCCTTGCCACCCCAGCTGCCACCCCAGTTGGCAGCTTTGTTTTGAAAGAAAAGTTGTGGCTCATCTGACATTTATGAGAGAAAGTCTCTAATGTCCGAGTGCAAGTGAATGCAGCACAAGATGCACGTCTTGTAACCCCTCCCCCGTCCCTGGCGCGAGCGTGGAAATATGATTGGCGGCGATTTCATTTGAACGGGACGGCGCAAAACGTGAAGCATTCGGACCCAAGTACTGAAGGAATGAGGTATTTGCGGTCTACAATGACAGAGAAGAGACTGTGAAGTTTGTCTGTACTCAGCATTTAATCAAAACGCACTAAAGCTGTTGATCTTAATAAGTTTGTGAGGCGTTTTGCTGAACAAAAAGTCCTGAGAAAGTCAAATAAGACGGTGTGTAAAACTACACTGCCCAGCCAAAAGAAAGTAACCACTTTGATTGAACTAGGCCAGTAGGTAAGGGCATTCCACTGGATAATAACTGAAGTATAAAAGAATGCATGACTGAAGTGATGGAGACCATGTTTGAAGGCAAACAAAAAGAGGAAATAACAGGTCAAATCAAGCAAATCCCCCTCTCAGATTCCACAGCAACCAGAAGAACATAAATACTGGCTGGTGATTCGATTAATCAGCTTTGTGATGGAATAAAAAATGCACAGTGCATTTCCTTAGCTGTGGATGAGTCCACTGACACCACTGACAATGCTCAGTTGCTGGTGTTTGTGAGTTTTTATGATGAGGCAAAGGGGGAGTTTGTTGAAGATGTGTTGGGCCTGACGAACCTCAGTGGACACACAAGGGGGCAAGACATTTATAAAGCAATAATGGGAATGCTGAATGAAAGAGGGTGCAGCTGCCTTTATTCATAACTGTGCAGCTCTTACACTGCGACTCTGAGGGATCAAGCACAGACACAATAACAATGAAAACTGCTGCATACAGATTATTTTTGTTTTTGCAACCTCGTGTTAAGAATCTTGTTGCAATTGTTTAAAAGTTTGAATGACCGTAATAAATGGACCTTTGTCTTATTGAAACATTTTTTTTGGACCTTTAAGATTTGTATTTGAGTACCCCTGCTCTAGCACGTTGACATGGCGTGCACCCTCCTGGGCAGACCACTGACTCTGAACAGTCCTGCCCTGCCACGCTGCACCCCACCCTGAGAGACATGCATCTGCAGTGACAGACTCCCGGCGGGATGGGATGGCGCCCATGGGCACGCCCATTAAAAGATAAGCCCTGTCCCTCCAGCGGGACAGAGAGTGGAGGCACCACTGAGACACCCTGACTCTTCTGTGCCTGTGCCACTTGGCGTCCAAGTGAAGGCTGTTCAGCCCCATTTGCATGGGGCGCAGCGACAGCAGGCTTAAGGGCACAACGGCTGAGGCAGCTGTCAGTCCGCCCAAGAGCCGGAGGAACTGAATGTAAGGCACCATCTTGCCCAGCCTGAAGATGGGAAGAAGGTGGAAAATGTCGTCCACACGACGAGGTGACAGGTAGGCCCTCATGGCGGCCGAATCTAGGACCATCCCCAGGTAAGTGACCTGTTGGGAAGGGTCCAGGCAACTCTTCTCGGTGTTACTGTTAGACCCAACCGGGCTGCGTGAGATAAAAGGCGAAACCAGCCAATCGTTTAAATACGGCGAGAGCTGCCGCCATGACCCTGTTGAACACCCTTGGAGAGAAGGGGGAGACCAAAGGGAAGCACCCGGAACTGATAGTGTCGGCCCTGAAAGGCAAACCTCAAGAACTTCCGGTGGTGAGATGCAGAGTTGGGTGTAACAACAAGGATGTGCAAAACAGACAAACTAATAAGGCTTTATTTAAACATTAAAGAATACTTTAGGTTAAGGTCTTCTTTTGAATAAGAAAAAAGCTTTGGGGGTATAGAAGATGAATATGGAGGGATGAAACCCTCTTTGATGGTCACACATGCAGAGCACACAGCACACACAGTGACATTTGTATCTACAGATAAATATTAAGCCTGACAAAGTACTTAACGTCTAATATATTGCTTTCCTGCAATGTTAACTATGTTTAAGCACTTATTTTAACTGATATTATACATATGTATTATACTCTTATAAGATGTATGTAGATAGTATAAGAAATGTGCAGAATATGACAATGTAATGGTGGAGGTACACACATATTGATAGATGTCTTATAATGCACTGTTGAGGAACCTGCGACCCAAGTTGTTCATTCATTGCATAACTACACCGTAGTTGTGTATAATATGATATGTCAATAAACCTTAGAAAATCTTGAAATCTTGAAAGGGATGTGCAAAATCGTCATTATATACAGTCTTTAATTAACTATTAGTAGAGAATAACGAGGAGTAAAGAATATACTTTATAGGGATCCTATTAATATCTAATAATACAATTATAAAATGCAATAACGTGCTTTAACCAGTAGGTGTCCCTTTCTATCAGCTGTGCACCGTTATGGCGTAAATACAGCCTATCTACCAATTGGATCAAATATAAAAGTCAGCCGAATTAGTGTTGATACTGCAAGGAGACGTATTGTGTGAAAAGAAATGTAAGATGTTGTTTAATTGCTGATATATTTAAGATCCACGTCAAGTTTTCAGTTTTGGCGGCAGTTCCTGTTTGTCTAGAAGTCTTCTCATCAGGGCTCTATAAATAGACAACTACGGCAGATATGTCATATTTAATGCAGCCGAAACGTGTATTACAATGCTGTTGGAAGGATATAATTACAGTTTATCCGATTTTGAGTAAATCTACTGTTATCCAGCTCTCTGTGTGTGTGTGTGTGTGTGTGTGTGTGTGTGTGTGTGTGCATGCGTGCGTGCGTGCGTGTGTGTGTGTGTGAGCCAAAGTGCTGCACATATAATAAAAATACCTACAGTAAGGACACTTTACAGTAAATGCAACAGCAAAGTTTGTGCAGAATATCAGTATGAGAAAAACAGCATCCTCTGTCCTTTGACCCTCACATCGTACAAGGAAGAAAAACCCACAGTTAATATACACACATTCCTTCACATTTAAATTTACATTTACATTAAAGTATTTCGTGAGGCCTTCTAACATGTTTTTAAATATAACTACGGTTGTAGTTGAAGAGTTTGTAAATTAACATGAACCGAAGCTGTTGCCTGTTGCAATATACAGGGTGTTTCTCAATCTCGAGTACGCTTGCTTGGTAGCACATGTCTGCCGAGCATCTTGCTTCAGAAGCGAGTCAAGAATATTTCCTGGCATTCGGAAAACGAAGAGTGGAACAGGCTAGCAAGTGTGCAGGTGTGTGTCATATGAGAGGCCCCGCCTTACATCTTCCGCCACAGATTTGGGGAAATTGGTCCGTGCGCAAAGCATTGTGGGGATTTTAAGACTGCGGAGTCTACTCATGTGCAGCCTCGATATTTCTCCAAACGGAGTACGCCGGGCTCGGTAGATTTCCAAGTATGCTGGAGATTGGAACAGTACTTCGGCGGCACTCGATGACGTAGTATGCTTGAAATAGTGGCTCTGAAGCAGCTTTACTCACGATTGAGAAACACCCACAGTCTATGGTTGCTACAGAGGATTGTGGGTAATGTAATGTCTTCGGCCATCCAAAACTCATAGAAAACGACTTGTTTCTCAGAATTGAAGGGGAAAACGTGACAAAAGCATTGTACACACACTAAAACCTATCAATGTCGTTTAATTAACAAGGATAATCTGGTGTTTTTGAGTTAGTGGAGATATCACTGTCAAATCAATCGACAGTAAGGGGAATACTTACTT